TTAAAACGCAATCAAAAAATAGAAGGTGAAGAGCTATTTGAGTGATTATCTTGGATCGAATCATTCTGTATAAACAGCTCATTTCATGTTTTTTTTTTTAAATTTTATTTTTAAATAACAGTGAAAGTTACTCATTTCTTTTCACATAAAAAAATAATAATAATAATTGAAAGAGAAATTATAAGCTTCATCTTGTTATGGTGTACAATTTCGGAAAGGTTATCTATTTATTATCAAAATCTCTCCATAAAATCTTAAGGAAAAAAATGTCATTTTTAAGTAAATAATAGCTGCAATTAATTATTATTTTTAAATTATTTGCTTTTTTAATCTTTACTCTTAATGGCTACTTTATAAACGATATTTATCGAAATGAAACGTAAATTATGTAGTTTAATATTAAAAAAATATTGATTTATTATTAAGTGTTTGTTCTAAAAACTTTTATTTTTTAATTTTATTTATTATTTTTAAGCTTATAAAGAATGCCATTTTATACTTTGTTTTAATAAAATAAAAATTAATGCAGTAAACACACTCAAAGAGTTACATAAATTGTCAATAAAAAGTTTATTATTTTCTGCTTTATATATATATACAGTCATACCTCTGAACAACGGACAATAACAGAAATTTATAAACTGGATGGCCGCTATTTGCAGGTTATTTTCTATGTACTTTTGTTCCAAAAAGGTTGCTGAAGGTTTTATTGCTAAAGAAATGGTCTCTATTTAGAGATGGCCATTATTAAGGGATTATTTATAATGTGTTCAATTGAATGATTAATTGATTATTGATTAATTAACGCAAGACACTATAATATTGTAAGCTACGAAAAGTAATATATTTTTTTCTATATTATGTACTTGGAAAATACACGGAAAAGAAGGTAACATACTGACATCATAGGCAATTTTTCATATGGATTAAAGCGATTTTATTTTAGCCTAATTTTACATAGTCTCTTTACAAGATTATAAGTAAGGAATGGAAAACTATACCTTGGTTTGTTCCGCTTTATTGGGCAGTAATAAAAAAGATATGGGTTAAGGTGAGGATTAAGGTATGCGAAATAAGTTATGGGGTCTGTATAGTGTTGAATATGGATCTCATGACAACTTATCGCTACATATACAATATTTTAAAAACTATATATACAATAATATTAGGTTAAATGTTCGATATAGTATGATACTATAGCTACTTGGGAAATCTAAACACATTAAAACTATAAAAAAATCTTAGAAATTTTTAATAAAAGCTAGATTTAACAAACAAAATTTCCAGTCATGTGTAAAAATTAACACCCTTTTACTTTAAAATAAGCGTTTTATATATAATTAAATCAACAGGCTAATATTTTCTTTTTAAATCTAAGAGTCACCACTTTTAAGAACATTTATTTATTCGTCCGCCTGTCTGTCTCTTCTTCCTTAATCTCGAGAACGGAGTCATCCCTTTTATATAAATTTACACAGAAAAAAGACAANAAAAAGATATGGGTTAAGGTGAGGATTAAGGTATGCGAAATAAGTTATGGGGTCTGTATAGTGTTGAATATGGATCTCATGACAACTTATCGCTACATATACAATATTTTAAAAACTATATATATTGTTTAGATTTATTAATCAAGATTTTTAATACAATTATATTTAAAAGACATTTATTAATTAAATAAACAAGAAATTATCTAATATTATACCATTGTAGCTGGGCTAACAGCTCCAAGACTTCTGATATACATTTCACATAAAACTTTTGTAGGTTTTTCTAAAAGAATATAAAAATTAATAATTAATAGGAAATACATATTTATTTAAAGAGAATAAGTAAGTAGTTACTTCATTTTATACACGTGTCCAAAACTTAAGGACGAACACAATCGCTGGCGGTGGTAGCTAAACACAAAAAAGTCACTTAATGACGAGCCTGCCATGAGGTTGTGAGTGCTGCATCACAGTTTGAGGTATGCTGTATAAATTCCATGCTGATAAGTCTCTCAAACTGGCATTAGTAAGCACTTTCCATTCATTCTCCACCCATATCCAATAGCTGTATACGACGTCTTCATCAAAGACTTACTTTTATTGCTTTGTTTATAAAATCTTACAAGTTACAGTGTGTTATCCTATGTTATACATCGAATAATACAGTTCTTGCCATATTTGTTTGCATTCATCTACAGTTCTCTCAAGTCTTCCGTCTTTAAGTTTCGAACACGTGTGTATCACAACTGAATTGTCTTAAAAATCATATCCAAAATGAACGTAAATTAATGAAATCATTTAACGACATATTTTATAATTAATTAACTTGAACTTTTCGCATCAATACATTAATTAAATATTATTAATCTCGAAAGAATCATTAAGATATTGCCATTAAATTTAACATTTTCTTATTGAATCGATTGTCAATATGACGTAATTATTTAACTTTTATCATCATTATCATCTTCCTCTCGTTCTAACAGAGCGTTGAAATGAGGAAAAAAAGTTAAAAATTTACAATACATAATTATATATCATTAATTCATTAGACTGCTTCTATCCTAAGATATTTTATTCATCTCGTAGTATTATTCTTCCATTCTTTTCTTACAAATTTTCTAATTTAGCATCCTCATCTCCTGTTTTCTTTTTCTCTTTATTTTACAATCCAGAACAATCTTATCCAAGCTATTCTCATGTTTTCTTCTAACATGACCAACCCTGATCGGGACTACCAACCTTTTACCTTTCCTTGACCTCTCATCCATGTATTCTTCTTTCTGTCTTTAAGTGTTAACCCCATCATTGATCGTACCATTCTTCTTTGTCTTTATCTATTTTTCAGTTAAGTATTTGTCATATTCCATATTACTGCTGCATATTTTAAAACACGAAGATGAACTGGTTTAATAAATACTTTTCTTTTGAGATTTAATAATACGTCATTTTTATAATATACATATCTTTAAAAATGCTATACTTTATCATCATTATCTAATTTCAATAGCTTTGAAGCAGGAAGAAGAGCATTGACTCTTACTGATTTACTTTAGCAACAACTCTTTCTCCTGTTTCAACACTTGAAACGGGATGATGATGATGATGATGATCAACTAAAACTTTCAATATAAAAAGAGTTCTTGTTAGATTCAACGATTTTAGAAGATGATAAATAAGATAATTTTTTTTAAAAACTCCTAAAAATTTAAGTGGCATTTCAATTTAAAAGTTTTCTCTTGAATGGAGTTATATATTTGACCGGCATGACTACACTGTTAACAGGAAAAGTATGATGTACAGGGGCAAAACACTACTAAAAAAATTGAGAGCGTTGTGACAAAATTTCTGCCCAGCATAATAAATAATTTTCTTTATAAAATATTTTAATTTTTATTCCATATTTGATTAAAAATTGCTAAAGTTCATAACTTCTCAGAAATAATTATTTTCTCTTTCTAAAATTACTCTATTAAGTTTAATAAAAATTTCGTTTTAGATATAATGAATAGCTATTGAATAGAATAAATGTCAGAGAAAAAAACAAGGAAGTTAAATTGAGTATAATATAAAGAGAACGTGAGTGGTCCTCGAAGAGATCGAAAAAATGGCATGTGAAAATCTCGGCAGGATTAAAAGAAATTGGCTATTTGAGCTATTGTATAAATGACAACTACTGAAAACAATCAAGTAGTATTATCTCCGTTTATTTTTATTTCTTTAATCAATTCTCTTGTAGTGTTAATTGAATATATATGAAACATATTTAACATTCTTGTCCTGCTTCGTCTTCATAGTTTTATTTCATAACTTCTTTATTAATTCCGGCTTTTTTTCTTCTTTACAAATACCTTATATGTACTGTACTTGGCTAATTCGTTAAATGAAATGGCATAAATAATAAATATAATAAATTATAGAATAAAATTGTAAATCGTTGTAATGCCTGCTGCAATATTTAATCATCTTTTAAATTAATTAATTATTTATTTATTGTATTAAATTATTTTATTCTGTACAATATACATTTTTGTATTAATTTTCTGATTAAAAAAATTCAAATCAGCAAGTTACAGTCGTAAAATAATAAGCATGTTTATTATATCATTTTATGCAATAAAGTAAACACACTACTTCCAATGTTTATTTTATCAGAATTTTTTCGCTAAATTTACTTAATTTAAATTTTAAAAATATGTTAAATCTGTTCTGAATATTTATCTCAATCGATATTTAATATTTTCGAAATGTAAAGTAAAAAATAATTGCATTTTTAATGTAATTTTCTCTTCTCATTATTATTCTTCATACGATATTATAACGTAATTATTTTTAATTTCACATTTTTATCATTTTTAAAACATTGCTGACTGAAATCTCTGGTTTAATTAATTAGATCGAATCTCTAAAATATATATAAAGAGAAATGCTTGGGTTTATAAATTTATATTGAGAAATTGCAGAAAATATTAATAAAAATATGTTAACAAATAGTGTCGAGTTATAGCGAAAATTCTCGTAGGATTATCTTAACAAATGATTTTATCCTAGAGGAAATTCGTAGATGTACTAGAGTAGGCTCATGTTTTAAGAAGACGGTCGTAGGAGTATGATCTAAAAAAGACGATCACNGATAATGTTTTAAAGAAATCGTCGTAGAAATGTATTTTAATTAATTAATAGCAGATAAACGATAAAATTAATACAAAATCTTCCTAAAATATATATTCTACAATCTAATACGAACAAAGTTTGTTTCGAAAATAACCTTTCAACTTCTAACACTTTCCTCTAAATAATTTTTCTAACAAGTGCAAAGCAACAAAACCACATTGAAATAACAAAACTGAGTACAGCAGTAATTATATTTTAAAAATATAAATTAAACAAATATATATATATATATAAATTACAATTTAAAAATTCATTATTTCAAAATTTAAGTTATTAAATTGTCTAATTAACAGATTATTTTTACCGTAAAATTTAAATGAACATTAAATAAAAATATAATAAATAGCGTAAATATTCACTGTTTATTATTATTTTTCTCTGAAAAATTATTTAAATAAGAAGTAAAAAAGCGAAAAATAAATATTTAAATTACTCGGGATTATTTTTCTAGATTTACTTTTTTAAATGCTTAAAAATATTTTAAACAGAATAATTTTTATTTTATTGACTGTTTTATAAAACATTTTTTTCAAATATTTAAATTTATAAATATTAAAATAATATAGGAAATAAGCTTATTTCATTTATCTTTTCACCTGAAAATAATTCAAATTGAATAAATTATGTATGGCTGAACGTTGAAGAATACTTCGTATAAACATAATAATACTAAATACAATTAAATTATACATAATTTATACTTTATAATTGATTAATAAACGTATAAAGTACATACTGAGATGATGATTAGGGGTAATTCTTCTGTCATAGTTCTCCAATAACGTATCCAAAACTTGAAGGTCGCTATCATCAGCTAAAGTAGCTTGATATATACTTTTAAAATAAATATTTTTAAAAAATTATATATTTTATTAACTTAAATAATAATTACAATTATATATACATATATATAATATTTTTATTTTAATACATTTGTCTTATATTCTCTGCATTTTCTAGTCGTTTGAACTTTATACAGTCAAACCTGTGAAGAACATAAAAAGTGTCCTTTGTTTAGAGGTTAATCCGTGTACATTTTTATTCCAAAAAGAAAAGAACTTTTCAACTGTTTAGAGGTGGTCGTTATTAAAGGTTCGACTGTATCTGCAGATGTGAATAACTTAGACTAATAATTATTCTTCAGAATATTTATTTACTAATTTCTATGAAAGGTATATGTATAATCTCTGACAAAGGTTAAGGAATATATTCATAGGCTCTATTAGTATAAACTGTAGAAATAGAGATGTATAAGGACATTACATAGTCTCCTCGAGAACTATTATATTTCGACATTCTAGATGAAATGTTACATATGTTTTTACAAAGCTCTTTCTACTATCACATCTCAAATAAAGTTATCAGATAAAAGATTATGATGTCTGCTAGATAAAAGAAAATATTAGAAAAACAATAATGGAAAAATAGCTTAAATGCCTTGGTCTTCTTGCAAGAGCAAATGGAATCTCTCCCTAAACAAGTTTTATACCAAAGGAAAGATCTAGGACATCAGATGACATAAAAAATAGTCTAGTAGTATCTTTAATGACATGCCAATTAGTTATAAAAACATAAAACTGACGTATCTATGTTAAAATTTGAGTTAATAATGACCTAATGGTACTCGAGGGGACTATATAATGTCCATATACATCTCTGTTTCTACATTTTATAAAGCCCATTAATATATTCTGTAACCTTTGTCAGCGATCATCATGACCTTTCATAGAAATTTGTAAATAAATAATTCTAGAAAATAATAATTATTATTATAAACTAATTTTTACACATAATTATCCTATTTATTAATGTGTATTTTTAAAAATATTTTAAATAATAAAATTCTTAAGCATAATATAAATTTTTATATTAAAAATAATAATAAAATCATGACTAATTATTACTTATAATGAATAATAAATTTTATATTTAATAATAATTTATTTATTTAAACATTTAAAATTCATAATATAATATGATGATTTTNTTACTTCAAAATATTTTATTAATTATTATTTATTTTATCATCCTAGGAAAAACAACTCTATATTTGTAAGTTAAGATTTGCATTTAGATTTTCATACAAGCTTTATAAATATATAATAATTATACAGGGTGGTTCAAAAGTCAGTTAATTAATTTAATTAACTAAATTATCCTTAAGTAAAACTACAATTAATTCAATTGTATATCTTATTTTATAAGTTTTAAAATTAAAAAAAACAAAACACTATTATATTTTTTATTATAATTTAAATTATTAAATAATTTATAACTAATTACTGATTGTGATGATCATAAAAATATCACTTCGAATATATCATCATTTTTCCTTTATTACAATAAAACAACTAATTATATTTAATTAGAAACATTAATAACATTTAAACTTGTATAAATTAATTTTTATAATAAAATAAAATTTAATATCTGATGAGAATTTACTTGTCTAATTTTACATCATTTATTTCAAAAATTTTAAAATTTATTATCTTAATTACTGAAATTTCTATTCTTCTTTATATTAATCATAATTTTATATACAGTAATTTACTTTCAACAGTAATTTTCTGTTTATTAAGAATATTATATTAGACAATTACCAAGACAACGATGATGACCATAACAGATGCCATCATCATCAATCATACGAAGTTTATTCTTTAATAATTCATATTTATTTTTACTAAACTCGAATATTATTAAATAAAAACTACTTATTTATACAATTTATACATTTGTTCTGTTGAAAAATATAGAATGTACTGTACATACAGCATGGTCCAAAAGTTAGTTAACAAAGATATATATTTTAAGAACGTTTAAAAAATCAGTTTAGAAACTTTCATTTAAGTAAAAACTAGAAATGGAAAGCTTTAGAAAGCTGTATGTGTATAGGATAAACATACAAACAAACAGGTATATACACTAGAAACCTGTACACTTATGTGTATACGTACACAGATTTAAGATACAGGTGTATAGCTAACAGATACAGATAAAGTGTTATTTTTATTTCTTTCTTATTTATTCATATATATAGAAAAAAGAAAGCATACAAGGTCACAGAACATATGTATATATATATTTACTATTTTATTTAAATTTATAAATTATTAGAGAATAAAAATAGCATTTACAAATACGTAAAAAACAATCATTAATGACAGGAAATCGGAGTATTTAGAATGTTTAAAGAACGATGTCACGTCGTTATCATCAGAATTTTTTCTTCGTTTGTTTCAACTTCCATAAAACGATAATGAGATTTATTTACTCGTCCGAATTATAAACAAAAAAAAAACAAAGCTATTAACTACATATATCTAATCTTATTTATTTAATCCCAAGTTCCAAACAAAGATTATCGAATAAATTGTTAAGAAAAATATTGATTTCTTTTAGTTCTATTTATTTCTTTTATTATTATTATTATTTTTTTACAGAATAAGTAAAAAATAATAATAATAATTAAATTTTTCAATGAATCACTTCCAGATGTCAATTTTCAATCATTTCTTTTTATATTAGTTTATCTGTTTTCTTTCAAAATAATAAAATAAAATGAAAAAAGAACAAATGAATTTTAAGAACTTACTATATTTTAAAAATAGATTTTTTTATATTTACTTAATTCTAAAGCTATGTGTGTTGTATTCAATTTGTATTCAAATATATATATTTTATTTTTAAATGTTTGTTGATAGATATGTTAATTTTCAATACCTATAGTATACCTATATTTATAATCTACTTCCTCACCTATTCTCTCTATCTAATTATATTTACTACCTGCCTTTATAACTATATTTATCTAACTACCTACCTACCGATACAATCTATTTTAATACTTATTGTTCACCTACCTACTGACTCTAGTCTATATTTTCCTACCTATTTCCCACCTATGTACTGATACTTATCTACACGTTCCTAATTGTTGCCTACCTATCTATCTGTCTGTATAATCAAATCCCTAACTACATCTAATATATATATTAAAATTTAAAAGAAAATTCTATTTAAAATAAAGAATTTGAAGTATAAAGCCATTAATCTTAATATTTTTCAGTTGATAAAAGAATTTTTATCATCACTTCTTATAAATTTAATAAACTTTAATACAATCAAATATAAAAAAGGTAATATCTTTAAATATGTCAAAGGTCATCGACTTTTTTTCTTATATATTTTAAGTAAATATTTTCAAATTATTCAAAAATTTATCTTTTTTTTAAAATATATTTATATAGAGGAAAATGCAGAAAAATTTAAAAATCGCTTAAATATTTATAACAGGGTTTAAATATTCTTTGACGGATATATTTTACTCTTTAAAATAGCCCAGAAACTGTTTACTAATCTATAAACTTACAAAATACTTCCGTTTTATTTACACAAAATCGTATTAAATCAGTACAGAAAATTAGTATAGGTTCGTATTTCTGCATTCACATTCGTTTTGTGTGTATTTAGAGAATTGTTTGTTTATGTATTGTGAGTTTGTTATAATGTACACATATACGCTCAACATATAACGTTATATAAATATTTATTATATGCATGAGATTTCACTTTAGCCAATTAAACCAATCAGCCTTAAACTCGAATGTTATTCCATAAAATTTACGTGGGTTTTAATTACAAAATTTTCAATATTTCTCAATAATATATTTAAAATTCATTAAATTTTAATGGTATTCTCTGGTTTATAGTCATTTACTTCAAAATATTTTATTAATTATTATTTATTTTATCATCCTAGGAAAAACAACTCTATATTTGTAAGTTAAGATTTGCATTTAGATTTTCATACAAGCTTTATAAATATATAATAATTATACAGGGTGGTTCAAAAGTCAGTTAATTAATTTAATTAACTAAATTATCCTTAAGTAAAACTACAATTAATTCAATTGTATATCTATATAATCACCTAATGTATTTTCGTAACATAAAAATACATTGTTCTAAACAATTTACGATTCGTATTTTTGTATATACAAAACAGAACGAAGTTAACTGACTTTTGACCAATGCTGACAAGGGTGGTCCAAAAATCAGTTAACTAATTGTCATACAAAATACGGTTAATATAATTATTATACAAAGTAATTTAATTGAGTCTTTACAATCGTTAACTGACTTTTGGGCTTCGCTATGTATTTATCATACATTGTAATTTTTTAAAATATTTTAATACTCCGTGCTATAAAATACTACGTAAATTATAAAAATGATTTATAAATTTAAAGTTTTTAAAAAGCTTTTCTGAACTTTATAATTTATTTTAAGCTTAGAATTCTTATAGGAAAAAGAAATGATAATGTGCACCTTAACATATACAAGATTTTCCCATCTGGATTGATTCGAACTAATACATTTGGTACCGTAACATATTGAAATTCTCCATATTTAGCATTTGGAAAATATACATCAGGCCTCCATACTTTCTTAACTAAATTTGGATCATTTAAATCTAAGGGCCTCGTTAAATTAGGGCTTCTCATCCGATTATCGGTCCACGTTTGTCGAAGATANAATTATAAAATCGTATTTCGGTTTAAAATTTAAGAATATTTCTCTATTTTTTTAAACATTAAATAGATGAAAAAGTGGATGACTTATAAAGTGTTCATTGGGCTGCAATTTCCAAATTGCAGACCTTTACATTCCCACTATCTTTCGTCTGTCTGTCCTTTATTAATCTCCATAATGAAGTTAGATACATGAAAATCGAGACCGAATATGATAATAAATAATTGCTCGTATATTTATCAATAACAATGGAATTATTTAATTTAGAAACCCCACATCAGACTCATAAATACAGC